AATGTGTTTTAAGCATACTGATGTGGCTCAGTAAAGTGCCATTGTAGAAAAATGACGACAGTTGCCCTGGTTTGGACTTAATTGTTCTTCCACACGGTTACCTATCTCAGCATTTATTGTCAAGTTTTTATTTACATTAAAGTTTTATTTACATAAAGTATATTAGATTTTTTATGACTTATACTCGAACATACTAATGCAGTAATAAATTTTTGTACCAAAAGCTTTTACACTTGTACATTTTAAATGACTAATACTGGTTATCTTACTCATGAAAATGTGGTCACAATCTATTTAATTTGCTTTTTATTTTAAAATATGAACTTAGAAGCCATTGACTTATAGTCTTGACATCTCCTGAAGATAACCAGTCCAGATGACTTCATCTGACAGTTCACTCTCTGAATCAACTTCGACAATTAGGAGAGAACAATCAAATTTCATGCACCTGGAAACAGAAAATATAGAGAAGTGGTATTGTTGGTTAAAAAAAAAATTATGGCATTTCATTGCAGCAAAGCATTTTTTTTCTAAATTTATTTCTTTAAAGAAGATAGAAATTTTGAAAATTTTTACACAAACCAAAAAATCAAGATGGGTTTCAGGGCCTTGCTCCAAGCAGTTGTACTTACCTGCTTGCTCTGTGGGTGAGCCTTGCCCAGAGCTTCCTTTAGTAAGCAAGCAAATGTCCAAAGAGCAGAATTCCTATTTAGAATAAAAGTCAACAAATAAATTAATATCCTGTAGATAGTAATCAATAAAATAATAATTATAATCAATAAAAAGATATTGCTGGCTTCAGTTTGTTAGAAGGATGGGACAGCCTTCCTGTGTCCTTCTGAAACACTGTGGAATGGAGGCATGGCTCAATGGACAGGGTGCTGTCTTGTGTGCATGAGCTTCTGAGTTCAGTCCCTTGCACTGCAGAATCCAGGTGGGCTGACAGATCAGGGGATCGGAAGTGCAAGGTCACCTTTGGGTGAGCATAAGCAAGTTTGAGGCCAGTCTGAGTTACATGGGACCTTGTCTCAAAATAAACATAACAATTAAAGAATTAAACTTAATCATAAAAAATTTGATAATGTGAAAGGCACACATTTGCAAAATGTAGTAACAGGTAACAGATATGTGCCTGAGTGGATGACTAATAAGATCATCCACAGGTTATGATGTGCTTTGAGTCTATCAATATGGTCTTCTGTGTATGTCTTTCCATTTATTTTGAAAATCTTTGGAGACAGGAAGCAAAAAGGTAGCCCTGAATTTTGTACTTTTGCTGATGAGCTTTCTCATAACAGGGGGAAGTGAAGTTTGTCACATATAGCTATTTCTTTTTTTCAAATTAACCCACAGGAGAATGTCAAACTTAAGTTCTCTTTAAAAATGTTCACGTCTGAGCCACGTTGAGCTTTATAGATGGCTTTCTGAGTGTCACACCTGAGTTGGGAAGTCAGGCCGTACCCACTGATAGAAAGGTCTGTGAATGGAGCCAACGTTCTAGCACAGGTCCACGCAGCCCTTTTGTAGAGAACAGACAATGAACTTGCTGGTGAGAGAGGAAGAAGGAAAAGTGGACACCTTAAGATTAGAGCATAGTCCCTTTTGGCTACAATAACAGCTCCAAGAAAATGTGGGTAGCCTGTATATAACAGGAAGTCATTTCTCACCATGCTGGGCCTAGGAAGTTCAAGATGAAGGTGGATACAGATTGGGTGTCTGGTAAGGGCCCACTTTTTTTTTTTTTTTTTTGGTTTTTCGAGACAGGGTTTCTCTGTGTAGCTTTGCGCCTTTCCTGGGACTCACTTGGTAGCCCAGGCTGGCCTTGAACTCACAGAGATCCGCCTGGCTCTGCCTCCCAAGTGCTGGGATTAAAGGCGTGCGCCACCACCGCCCGGCGAGGGGCCCACTTTTTTATACGTACACATCTTCTTGGTGTAACTTTCTCACCGCAACTTCCCATAGTGGAAGGCCTGTTGACTCGGGGCACTAATCCTGTTCAGGAAGTGCACAGTCATGAGGCTGCCACCTCCCAAAGGGCCCTGCCCTCTACTACCATAACTTGGGGGATTAACATTTGATCATGGCAGTTTTAGGAGGTTCTCAAACATTCAGAGAAGCCAGGAGAAGGTCATTGAGGTCACTGTGACAGTACCCCAAGTTCTTTTGTGTTCTAGTTTTAATCTTACCAAAAGAACAGACCTCTGCTGGGCTAAGCAAGCTGTTCTCAGGTTTGTTCCCTCACACAGGGAAAGCTTGAGAGGGATAAAGATATAATTCTACTCAGGGCTGGAGGGATGGAACACAGGGTTGCAGGCCAAGAACACAGGGCATGGGAGCATCTGGAAGTTTATCCTGTAATCTGAGTCTTGCTTCAGAGCCAGTGACCTGAAGTCAGTGTCCCCTCAGAAAGTCTACATGTGAAATTCAAGAGCACTTACTATGCAAAGCGTTTCTATTTGTTAAAAGAGAGTGTTTCCATACACAGTACTGGAATTTCCTTTAACTTGAGACCCTGCCTGTATTCCATTAAGTGTGTTTAAATTTCATCTAATTATTTTTAGATCCCATGAAACATTTTTATCCTTGTAAGAAATACCCTAAAAGTCCTTCCTTAAGAGTCATAATTTATAATTCATCAAGGGATTTGCATGCTCAGTATTTGTCAAAACTGTGTGTACATTTCCTCCTTAGTCCACTGTTTAGAGTGCTGTGATGGACAAAATAAAACAGTATTTCCCTCTAGTGAGTCAGATATTTTGAGGGTGACTGTGCGCTCTCCAGAGTGCTGTTTTTTCCTTGTAGTTATTTCCGTGTTTGTGCATGTACAGGAAGTTTGAGATGTGAAAAGGAAAGCTAATCCATTGTGTATAAGTTGCTTCTAAGTAATATCTCTGGCCAAATTTACCAATGTGGGAGGATTGGTTAACCCACTTGAAGGTATCTGTCTATGTTGTGTCCTTACTCAGCCCTTACTTCACTGAGAGTAATCTGTTTTATTATTCATTCCGGAAACGGAATAGAAAATGCTCTTGACATTACTGACACTATATTACAAAAGTGATAAGTCACGTCACCTGGTAAACAGAGTGACCTTGTCAGAGTCACCAGTGACTCAGTGGGTGAGCCAGGAGTTTATGACCCTTTCCTCTGAAAGGACAACTGTGCTCAGGCATCCTGAGATAATTATGTGTCACTCCTGCTCATATTAGCCTCTAATTTATATCACTGAAGGTTGTATTCCACGAAAATACTACTGGCAAGATAGTGGTGAATAGCTAGAAATCACTGATAGACTGTGTCAGAATTATGTTGTTGTTAAACAATGTCCCACTTATTAGTTCTTCTATGCATTGCCAAAGAGCCGGCCATTATAAATATGCAGAAATACCAGAATTGTAGAAGCATCAGTCAAGAGGGAAAAACTAGAGGGGTTAATTTGAAGCTACCATTTCTTATGAATCTACTTAATTATTTTCTAGGTCCGCAGCTGGTGATTGAGGGGAAGCAATGTGGACAGAGAAGGGAAAAGGCTTTTTAAACGACTTGCAATGTACAATTCAGAACTTAGGACTCATGGGAGCCACAACCGAGGGGCTGGGGCTGGAGTCCAGCTTGATAGCAAAGTACTTGCTTCACACACATGAGGCCCTGGGTTCATTCTCAGCCATGCACCCTCAAAGCCAAGGGGATGGTTGTATTATCTGTTTATCTTTGATTAAGCTGTCTAAAGATCTTTGTGTGAACAAACTACAAAAACAGAAAAGCAACTTTTGTTCACCAGGCTAAAGCTGCATAAGCCAGTGTTTTGTGATTTTGAATCCTGCTGAGCAACATTCTGAAGGCTATTAAATGAAGACTTTTTTTGTCTTTTTTTTTTTTTTTTTTATTCCTAGCATACTCAAATGTATATAGAAATCTCTGGAATGAGGAAGCAGTGCCATTCCATAGGATACCCTCCCACATACCCCACAAGTGCCCACTGTGAAGGAGAGACCAGTGAATCAGAGGATTTTATTTCCTCCTCCTCCTTTTTTTTTTTTTTTTTTTTTTTTTTTTTTTTTTTTGCTTTCCTGTTGGAGCTTATTACAGAATGAAGAATTGCTTGTTTGGGGGATGAATTGTTGAACAGAAAAAAAAAATTCACGATTTTAAGATACTGTTTTATGTCAGTGATTAATGATTAATTCCCCAAGTTCACATTAATGGGAAAACATTGTAGTATTAAGTTACTACATGGTCTGACATTGTATCAGTGAAGAAAAAGAATGAATCCATACTGATCAAGATTTAGAAGCAGAACTGTACGTTAGTGTGGGTGTCAAGGATGCGTTTCTTTCCTCGTACTTTGGTGTATGGAGACACAGATATCTTTGCAGTATGTGTCATATTAACTGAAATGCACTCACTCTCAGATTCCAGGGTAATTTGGAGGAGTTCTGGTACATTTGATTTTCACCAAGTCATTCTGCTCTGGTAACAAAGCAATCAGTCATGGGTGTGAATGAGTTAGCAGTAAGAAATACTCAATTATTTGGATGAGTTCCTCTGCACCCTTTACATTTGAAACAATGTGGGTAGAAGGTAATCTTTAAAAACAAGGACCCAGATGAGAAAACAAAGCAAAAATAAAATCCCTTTGAGGATCGTTATAGGGAGAAGCATTCTTAGGGCCAAGTGAAGGGAATTATGATGATAGTCTCTTACTGTGTGTCGAAACAGAAACAGATTGTCTTTCTTTAATGCGTGTGAAACCATTTTTAAAGACATGGGCTTAGGATATAGAAGTCTGACTTGAGGACTTCCACCCTTTTGTGCAGGGAGGTTCTTTGTTTTGTGTTTAAAAAATACATTTAATTGTTTGTCTTATGGGCCGCTGACTCAGAACAACAAATCTGGAACCAGAACTATGCTACTGCAAATTTTTGAGACCATTTCAAAGAGCACTAGAATCACATTGACATTTTTGTAACTGTATGTGTTATTTGTTTATTTACTTTCAGTTTGATTAATAAGCTCAAACCTGGCATCATAAAGAAGATCAATAGACTGTCTACACCAATAGCAGGTTTGGTAAGTAATAAATTACCTTCAAAACTAGTTTTCTTCTGTTTCATTTTTTTTTAACCAACATATAACGATTGTGCATATGTTTGTGTGCCCTGTTATGTCACTCTGGTATTGTTATGTAGTATAATGTGTTACATATTTCAAAACACTTAGGAGAGAGGACTTGGAATGTTCTCACTTGAGAACTATGTTTCTGTCTTTGAAATATAAGAAAGTGGTCCTGGCAGGTTCCCTCACCTGCAATTACTGTCCCTTTAGAAACAGTGACAGCCTCCTTTTGAAGAGCTTTTCACCACTTCCTTTCTGTCCGGAGGCCTTTGTTTTAACTTGTTTGATTTTGTTTTGATTATGGTGCTTCAAAGTCTGGGTCTCCCTTTTCTGGCCTTTCTTTTACAAGTTGCACGTGAGTTGTTTCCGTGCCTCCTGCAGCTCTTCCGCGCATGCGCTATTTTCTTGTTGGCCACAGCACTCAGGTATCAGGTGTTTTCTGGTTGGTGCCTTTCTGCTGCTTCAGACTCATGTATTATGCTCACTTAGCACCCAGACCATACGTATATCTGCAGAATAATCAAGGCCAGCTAGGCCTCCAATGGTGCGTTACATTTCCTGTTGATGGACTGTGTCTTTGTCTTCTGTGTCAGGGTCACGTGGTTTGTAAGGATATGCCAGTGTGCCTCCTACTTTTGTTACTACTGCTACTATTATTTTTTTTGTGGTACTGGAAATAGAACCAAGGGCCTTATGTCTTCTATCCAAACACTGTATCACTGAGCTACATTCACAGCCCTCCTGCCTTCAAATTGAAGATTAAGTATTAAGAAATACTACACAGTCTCATCCATCATGTTGTTATTTAGATTTTTAAGACACCGTGGACACTAATGATAACATGAATCAATGCCTTTGGAAATAATTTATAATTAAATAAATTTGATGAAGAATTTTCCAGAAGACGTTATAAGCCTTATCAATCAATTCTGGTGGGATGGAGAGATGGTCCAGCAGGTAAGGGCACAGGGTCCCTTAAGGGTTAAAGGACCTCAGTTTAGCTTCCAATGCCCATATCAGGTGGCTCACACTCACCTGTAACTCCAGCTCCAAGGGATCTGACACCCTCATCTGGACTCAGAGGGTGCCTGTACTCATGTACACATATGCCCACCACATAATTAAATTACCAAGTTATAACAATAAATCTTTAAATAAAAAAACTATACTGGTGACAGAAATCAGTTTAAAAGATCTTGGAAAGCACTGCATAACTAATAATAGGAATGTAAAACCAAACTGATTATCTATGGGTTATTCAATGCTCTTATAATAATGTATTTAAAAGACTTCTTTCTGGCCTTTCATGAGTTTACAGCTGTGGCGAATGACCTGGGTAGCCATAGATAGCCACGCTGCAGCTCCTGGGTTTGTAGGAGGCATCAAAAGCTCATCAAAACCTGACAGGGCTGAGTTTGGCCAAGGATTTATTATTGGAAAATATCTGTCTGTGAGAGAAGGAATGAAGTGTTGAGGTTTCTTTGAAATTTAGAATGCATACAAAGTTCTCAGAGCCACTGGTTCCGGTACTGACTCCTTCCAATCAAGTTGCCTCCATTCTAGACCTGTCATGAATAGGTAGCTGATCTGTAATTTGTATTGGTCATAAATTTGAGTAGGTAAAAAGCCTATTACACACACACACATACACACACACACACACACACACACACACTCACTCTATTTATATTCTTCTAGTTATTCAAAGAATAACATTAAATGAATGTGTCCCTGAAGTCTTTCTAGGAGGAAACATTCAGTTTAATAAAATAAATAAGCTTTATATGAAAATGACTTATAAAACAACCTCTACAAAAATAAATGTTTGAATTGTATTAAGTTACACTATCTTTTTCCAGTGGCCTGAGTTATTCTTAGATAGATTAATTTTTTGATTTTGAACTTTCATTTCTTGGATCAATTACCTGCATTTTAAATGAAATTAGCCTTTGATCTCAAATATACCCCAAGAATCTGGAATGCTTGAATTGTGGTGTTTGTTGCTGTTGGCTACTGTTGGGTTTATTCAACTTTATGATTGCATGATTAGATGCAAGCACAAATGTATTTTATTTTTAAGCCCCAAACCCTCTCCAAGTATTTCTATTTCAAGCATCAGAAATTCTCTCCAGTTTGGATTTTTATCTTTAGAAGCTAAAATGAAATGCATTTCTGGTACATTAAATAGAATGCTTTTCTAAGCACAGTGCAGTGAGCATTTTTATAGGGTATGGGTGTATAAGAGTGACTGTAGCTGCAGAATAGGCTAAGCTCAATTGGTTTGAAGTGAGCATCAGGCCTCATCTGACTGCTGATACTTGTCACAGTGGCTATAACAAAATGTGTGACTTAGAGCTCCAGCATGCACCTGGAAAGGGGTTGGCATGGGGATTAAGGGATAATGAAGAGTTTGATATGCAAATATTCAATGCGTGCATGTTCTTTCTTCAGACAAATAATTGAGGGTCTGTTGGGTTGAGGAGTTTTCTAGCATATGGAGTGTTGTAAAAGAGGACAAAAGGAGTGTGGAATTTGACTTCAACGTCAGGGAGGGAGAACCACACAAATCAATTAGCAAATGGGCAAGAAGGTACCACAAAGGGAATGTGTGAAAGAGTATATTAGACTGACATCCCAAAAGATTGAGTTCTAATAGTTTCCTAAAGAGTAGGAAGGAAACCTGGGTTTTTGACGTTTGTGCAAGAATACTGAATAATCTAGGCCAGACTTTTCCGTAGTACTAACATTTATGTTCACACCACCCAACACAGTGACTGATGCATACAGGAGATAAGAGTTTGTTAAGCAAGGAATGAGCCATGTTTCCAATGTAGAATGCAATAGGTTCTAGAATTTAGTCCTTGGTGGACTAGGCCTATAGGTTGAAGGAACAATCCCCATTCCCCAAAGACATAAGGAAGTTCTAAGCCCCAGTACCTCAGAATGTAACCTTATTTAGGTATATGATTTTTACAGATGTGGTTGGTTCAGATGAGATCATCCTGGGGTAGAGTGGATCCCTAATCTAGTATGAGTAGTGTCCCTAAAAAATGATGACTGTGAGAAGACATGCTTAGAGATAGAACATCATATGGGGATGAGGTTGAGGTGACGTAGCCACAATCCACAGAACAAAGATTGTTAATGAACTTCCCAAGTCTAGCAAGAGTCCAGGAAAATTCCCATAGATATCACAGGAAGCACAACTTTACCAACACACTGATCTTGGACTCCTGCCTCAGAACTGTGAGACAATAAATAAATACATCTCTGTTGGTTTAAGCCATGAGGTATTCTCATTTTGTTGTGGTAGCCCTGGGGAACTCATGCACATAGGTAAATGTTTTTAGTTAATAACTGCTTCTGACCACCATTAGACTTTGAAAGAAATACAGAAGATACAAAGAGGCCCTCTGTATTATCCTAACTCCCCTCAGTGAGCCTCCTCACATCCAATGTCTGGGCCAGGCAACTGATGTTGATACAGTTCAAAAGCCTTCTTAATCAAATTGTGTGTGTGTGTGTGTGTGTGTGTGTGTGTGTGTGTGTGTGTGTGAGAGAGAGAGAGAGAGAGAGAGAGAGAGAGAGAGAGAGAGAGAGAGAGAGAGAGAGAGAGAGAGAAAGAGAGAGGGACAAAGACACACACACGAGATCATCATCAGGTGTCTCCCTTAGTATTGACTTGCATTTCACCAGCTTTCTACACAATGTCTTTCTGAGTAGTGAAACCTAGAGATGCTTTCTAGCCAAGTCAGGTGAAGATCGTTTATTTTGATGATATATCAGATGCCTCTTGTGGTAAGCCAGTGTACAATCATAAACATGCCAGCTCAGCTCGCTCCTTCATTCCTGTGCCGTTCCCAACAGCAATCTTTCTTTGGCATCTCTTATCTGAGGTTCAAAAGAGGATTCGGAATGCACCAGGCCTTTTTTTCTCTTTCTGCTTATCAGCAAGCCTGAGAATGAGTTTCTTGGAGAAGGTAGTTATTGGGTAAATGGGCTTGTCCATGAGCATTGGTTTCCTTTGGATCATTCAGCAGAGGTTTGAAGGTTGAAGTGGGTTCTGTGGAGGATGCTTGTGTGGGGGTAGATGTGTCAAATACTGAAAGAACTTCTGTGTGGAAATGTGAGTTAGTAGTTAGGGTATTTCTTGGGCTTTCTTCCATGACTCCTTCCTAAATTTTTTTAGTTATAGTTTTTCAGCTGATGGGAGCTGCGTATTACATGTTTTAAAACCAAAAGCAATGGATTGTGAAAATCATGGAGTATGTTCTGAGGTGTGGTAAGTGGCAAGAGAGATTTATATTACATGATTTTCTTGAAACATTCTGTAATTGTTTTCTCTAGAAAGTCTTGTATGTTTTAGTGATATGGTTTCTCTCTCTCTTCCCCTTTCCCTCCCTCTCCCTTTGTGTGTGTGTGTGTGTGTGTGTGTGTGTGTGTGTATTCCATGGTTTGAGTGTGAACTCCAAAGGACAAATTGTACCAGTTGGCTCTCTCCTACCATGGAGGTCTCAGGGATCAAACTCAGGTCACCAGGCTTGAGGACAAATGCCATTACTTGCCGAGCCATTTCAGTGGCCCTTACTTGATCATCTTATTTCATAAATAATTACATTCTTCCCATTTCTTTGCTTTCTATTCATCATAAAACTGTGTTTAAAAATTAAAAAACAAAACACTAACCCAGGAGATAGTTTATATCTTCCAAAAAGTTATCTGGTGCTAAACATGGGTATGTTCAACATACTGAAACTCAAAACTAACAATGTGGGAATAAAAAAAATGTCCAACAACAAAGTAAAACCTCAAGGAACAGGCAAGATATCCTGCTGGTGAACAGAGCCGTTGAAGCAGAATAATGTTTACCATCGGATACGATAGCCTTCGTGAAATACAATATGACTAAAAACAGCAAAGAGGTTAGTAACCATAAACCCTTTGGCCATCTTGGA